CACACTTCTCTGCGTTGACGATAAGGCCATGTTCAGCGAAACGCTCGAATACTAGGCGCAGGTGGCGTAGATGTTGCTCCGGCGATGAGCTGGCGACAAGAACGTCATTGACGAAGGCGAACACGAAAGGTAGTCCGCGGAGAATGGCGTCGATGAAGCGTTGGAAGCTTTGGAGTTCCCGCCAAAATCGTGACCGATCGCAAACGCCAATTCGTGTCGGCCCCGCGATGGAAGACTCCGTCTCCAAAAAGGGGGGGAGGGGAGAGAGGGGGGGGGGGGGGGGGCTATGTGGCGATAGCCACTGGGAAGAGAAAAAGAAGATCACGTCCGGGTCACCAATGTAGAGAAAGACAGACGAAAAGCGACTACGTTTGACGCATTCAAAATCGAACTTATCTGTATTTTTAATTGCACCCGATCTTCTTCTTTCCCCAGTAGCTATCGACACACAGTCACTGCCTCTCGAAAACATTTGGGGGACATCTCAAGATCCGGCTCCTTGAAACGCCTGTTAGTGGTTAGAAAGGAATGCTTCGGGAGGTTCACCGATATTTTCTTTTGCTTTTCTTGAACTTGTAGTTTCGGAGGAAACTTTTTATATAGAACTACGCCAAAAGACCAAAAATATACAAAATATAATTTGTAGCATGTATGTTGCTCGTGCAGCCTTCGGCAATACTTGCTTGCCTTCCAACACACCATCGTCCATACAACGCGTTGAGGGTACCCCAGTACAATAGAGAACTCCGTGGCCGTGCTTCCGTCTGGTTTCAATCAGAAGAGACCTCAAAGGGACCACCAGCGTCGACAGCTTTGCTCTCTCCGACAAGGAAGGTGGGAGGCAACACTTACATTTTGTTGCTTCAGCACAGTTATTTTACAATGAGCTCAAAAACAAGAGCTCGTCTAGAGAGGGTAATTTTGTGGCATCCCTGTTTCCCCGTTGAAGAAAAAAAAAAGGGGGGGGGGGAGGGGGGAATGGAATAGCACGACGTCAAAAAGCCAGGGACCAGAGGCTCCTTCGAGTTTTGTTTCTCCTTTAGGTCTGAGCTGTTCTGAACTCAAGCCGACGAGCATTCTTTTTCATATTTCCGGGGGCCAGCGCGGGGCCCCCTGGGGCCCTGGGCTGTAGCCCCCTTAGCCCGTACCTTAATTTGGCCCTAGGGAAGAGGGAGGCCTTGAGCCAAATGCACGGGGGCTCAGCATATTGCCCAGCACCCCCTGAAAAACGTCAGCGAGTGCTCAAGCTCCCGTTGCCCCCCCCCCCCCCCCCCCCCCCGGTTCCGGGGTCCCTGTCCGGAGTAAAGGTGTGACACCCTGAAATTCGAAAACCCACCGGTGTCCGGCATTTTCTGTGTGTGTTTTCACTTCATTTGACCCGTAGGAGTTGCTCAGAACTCGGGTTCCATCGTGTGTCCCGCACTTGTAAGCGACAACGGCGGTAACACGACGCCAGGTTTTTACAGCGGAGCTGTTAAGGAATAGTTTCCCCATGATCGTGTTCCCCGCAAAGAAATGTCGACACAAAACTCTGGTCGCCACCGTCGCTCATAGATGGCGGTAGGTGTCCAGAGTGATGTGTTTGCCGGTTGTCCGCTTGCTACCATCGCTCACAGAGCGCGACATTTCTTCAAAGGAAGAAGAGCGAGTGGCGATGTGCGCAGCAGCGCGAATGGTTTCGCAACCGTTTCGAGGCCGCTATCGCCTAAAGTTCGACTGCATAGGGCCCGTCAGATTCTCTTGCGAAGGAAGAGCAGATCGCTCGCCTGGAAAGCCCGCGCCGTGAACAGAAGCTATAGCTCCGCTGCTCTTTCTTCTTCACCAGAGTGGAAAGGTTGAATATTTTGTAGCGTAGGCTACACTGGCCGAGGTTCAGCAGTTTCGCGTGGCTCGCATAATGAGCCGTGCTCCGTGCTGCGCATGAGCGAGGAGCAGTGACGTCACAGGGCGCACAGCTGGCGCGCCGGAGCCGCCGCCGCTGCGCGCTCCGCCACCGCTGCGCCTGCCTCGCCGGTCTGCGCATTCCAGAGGAATTACGTTATAGCCGCGGCAGACGCACTGGCGCCGCCGCGTGCCCAGCTGTGCACCTCGGTTGCGCAGTAGCCCAGTCTGACGCTGGACCGGAGCCGCTTGATAGCGCCTCTCATTTTGTGTGCATAAGCTCACGCTACGTATATCCTGGCATAGCCGAGCTAAGCCACCGCATTTTTTTTTTCTATCTACACTGGAAAATGACTCTGCAAAGCGTTCGTTTTCGCGGCGGTCTGAAAATCACTACGAGACGACGTTCCTCAGAGCCAGTAATTGATAACATTTACGCGAGAAGTATTTTGCGCATTTCTTAATATCAAATTGTTCCTCGCTTGCCGGCGGGCGGATTGCGTAGACGTGCTGGAATTGAAATGATCGCGACGGTTTTTGTCGGCTCATGAAGAGGATCTGTGTTCTGGAATTCGAGGTCTCGCATAAAAGAAGTTAGCGACGAGTTCGGCTCTGAACATAGCGCTGTGCTAAGCTAAGTCAGCCCTAGAAACTAAGGTTGACTGCTACACAAAAGTGTCTATGCCGGTCTGGTCGCATTCAACACTAAATGCTTTTGCGAGGAGCTGCACCGTGGCGCCACTGTCTTGTCGCTTACTTCTGGCTGCTACAACACACAACGAGGAGGAAGCGTCAGCTTTTGGATACAACATTCGACGTCAAAATCAATGCCAACGCTGCTCAGTGTTGCCAGTAGAGCGGAAGATTGTGATTCGAATGCGTAAACTTCAAAATTTGTTTTCTCAAAAGAAAGTAAATATTTTATTTAGATATTTCATAAACTTATTCAAGGGTAAATATTTAGTGCGCGTTGAATGTTTTATAAAAATCGATGACCATTGATATTTCGCAGGAGCTCTCCTTTGAGCACGTTGACTCTACATTCCGAGAAAAAAATTGCGCTGTCGTGTTTCGAGGCTATCTTTGTTTATCTTGCTCTTTTAGGAGGACGTTCCCGTTAAACTTTGATTATGTGTTGCAATATAAGCAACATGCTGCTCGTACTTTTCGCCGTGGTGCTTATTCTACCGGCATTTCAAGGAGGTAAGTCGTATAAAGATATTGTTGTTGTTGTTACACTTTATTAGGATGGCGCGACGGCTTGGAGTGACGGTTTACAGGTGGGGGGGGGGGGGGGTATAAAGATATATACGTATATATTTAACCAATAAAACTTTTTTTCTGCTTTCTTTCGAAACATTTTTGCCAGGCTTAGTTCTTGAAGAAACACCTGTCATTGAATACCACCGCTGCGCTCTGAACGTCGTTTGATATTGCAACCAATATTTTAGAACGTCAGGTGTCTGGCGAGGTTGGAACAAGTGGTGTTAATTCACACCTGACAAAAAGGAAGTCTGCACCGCATACCATTTAAAGGTACCCTGAGGTGGTTTCTGAGATCATCTAAATACGGCGATAACTCTCTCTGCGGGCTTTAAGCATCCTGGAAATTCGTAAATCATAACGATACTCGGCCGACTTCCCCATTTAAAAAGCAAAGATTGAACACACCGAAGTCATCTTTGGCGATGAAAGGAGCATTGTTCCAGAAGGCAGGACGACACGTGACCATTGAAAACGTGACATATCGTTGAGATTGCAAACGCTGTTATTACAAAATCTGTATGCTTTTGTAGATGATAAAAGCAAATAAGAGAGTAGTCCAAAAATGTTAGCTTCTAACCGAGAGGGAACGTATTATTGCAATAATCGTATCATAACGAGCGCATCGTGTTTGTTTATCTTTTTTTTTTTTTTCTTCCGCGGGAGTGATGCGTCAGGTCGTCAGCGCTCGAACGCGCGCGCTGGGTTGAATCGTGGTCCGGGCTGTAAGGGCAGTAAGCTGCGCGCATTCGAGATATCACTCCGCGGTTCCACCGGTCGGTAGGCTCCAGGATCCTTCGCTTGCCATTGGCCGACAGTGGTCCTTGTTTCGAAACATGCACCTCCTATCGCCTAAGACGACCTCGGTGTGTTGCAATATTTGATTGTATTTTTAACAGGGAAATAGGCCGGATATCGTAATTATTTAGGGATTTCTGAAAGGCTTAGAGCCAAGGGTGAGTTATTCATATTTAGGCGATCTCAGAAACCTCCTCAGGGTACCTTAGGAGTCTCACACAGGCTGCACCGTTAAACTGCGAATATTTTGTCTATACAAGCGTTCAAGGAAGTGGATTACCTTGGATGTAGCAGATGAAGCTGTCGCAGCCCCCCAGGGTTTTGTGGTTTTGGAAACTGTGAAGAGGGTTAATCAATCAGTTATTAAAAATGTAGCTAATGTCTAGTGCTAAAAATAACGGATGATGATGTTTATTGATATCATCGGATGTTTTTCACAGGTCACCCGATTAACAAATCTGATATTAAAATGTTTTATTGATTAAGTTGAATTGAATTTTGTTGCGAATAAAAATGATTGACAAAAGTAAAACTTAATATCAAAGTTTAATTAGGCAAACTTGTGACTACAATTCTAGAAAGGTGCCAGCATTTTACGCAATGCTAACGCAAACGCACAGTGCATGATATGATAATGCAATTATTGCAAAGGTGCAACCGAGCTCGACAAGAATAACGATAACAATCACTGGAGAAGTGGAACAAGGAGACAAAGGACAAACACAAATCTCCACACTGTGTTTTTAGACTTGCTCTTTTTTGAGATGTAAGCCTTTTTTTTTTTTTGTCCCCCTTTGTTCCCCTCCTCCAGGGATTATTATCAGTGCTAGTGTTTTCTCATATACGCAATACTAAAACTCACAATAATCTCCTTGTTTAACAATACCTTCATGACATTTTTTTTTCAGAGGGGTTTTTTCCTGCAGATTTACGCTGCTCTCTTGCTCTTTTGCACAGTGGAAATACATATTGCAAACTCTCTGGACATGATGTAAGGCTTGCGGACAATCAAAACAAATATAGTTTTAGACAATCCAAAGGGTCTTTCTGTTTTTTTATAACGCGAAGACTCAATATTTAATAACCGTTTGTACTAAAATCCTGCCTTTAGCATGAAACCCCGTAATATTTTAGGAAACACTCACAATGTTACCAAGTTTGTGACACATCGCGTAAACACAGGGGCACATAAGGGTCAAATACACGGCGATTTTTCTATGTTGTAATTTCTACTGGTGTCAGGTGGAGCGAGTAATTAGACAAGCTCGAAAGCGGTAGGTATTTGAGAGGGGGAAATTCCTGGACCTAAAAGTATTCAAGGGTCTTATTTTGAAACTTTTCCTAGCGTAAAAATATTTTACAATTCTTAGCACGAACGATTACCTGACGTTTCTGATGCTCATTCGTTTCTTTCTGCTAAAGTGACGCTTGTTCCTTCACTAGCATAATATGACACATCCCCAGGTTATTTAAGGCCTTGCGCAATCTCACAGAGCTCTACGGTGCACGAGAAAAGAGTCAAAGTACAGGCTAGCTGCGAATGCGGATGGATGGATGGATGGATGAATCCGGCTGAGCCCTTTGAATCGGGCGGTAGCTTACGCCACCTAGCCATTTTGTTTTGCCATTTAAGCTTAGAATATTTAAATGTGAAATCTATGTGGTGTGACGACAGCAGTGCCACCACAGTTGCGTGACGTCATACCCACCTGCTGGTGTGTAGGAAAGGGTTAATAGTGCGAGAGTGGATCAATGACGGTGGTGGTCGTCAAGCGCACCGTAGAGCCATTTCGTCGTTTACCCTGAGACTGGGTTTTCTTTTTTGAAGAGCAGAAGTAACAGAATAAACAGACAGGTCACTTTTTCTGTTACTTCTGCTCTTCAAAAAAAAAACCAGTCACAGGGTAAACGACGAAATGGCTTTAAGGTGCGCTTGACGACCACCACCGTCATTGATCCACTCACGCACTATTGGCCCTTTCCTACACACCAGCAGGTGGCTATGACGTCACGCAACTGTGGTGGCACTGCTGTCGTCACACCACATAGATTTCACATTTAAGTATTCTAAGCTTAAAGGGACCATGAAATGACCTTTTTACTTTTTCCAGATAACTTTTACATTAAACCGTCAATGTTCACTGAATGCCGAACAGGCATCCGTTTTCGTCTCGGTTTATTAACTTTTACACAAAAAATTATTGAAATATCGACTTTTTCATTCTCTCCAACTGACCGCAAAAGAAGCCGTGACGTAGACCGTTTCCGGAACCGGAAGTTCTCTCGGCAGCAGGAGAATGGGAGTGTTAGCGGCAACGAGTTGGGGTGCGCCGGTAGGTTTTACTGCGCTGATGTCACCGACGTATTTCCTGAATCGGCGCCTCTCATCGCCGCATCGCAGCTGAGCGAAATTCAATGAGATATGTTGCGCTACAGCGACAGCATGGGACTAGTCCCATACGCCGGTATGCTTGTTGGGAAGTGCAGCGAGTCTTGTCACCACCCCGTCATTGTTGGCAGAAGGGCCGGCCCGTGTCAGTCGTTTGCAAAGCGACGTAGATGGCGTTTTTCGCGGCCTCGAGATGCAGGAGCGAGCCGACGTTAAAAAAGATACGTTTGAACTACGAGTGTCAGCAAGAGCCACGTAAATACCTGTTTACACTCGGAGCGGACGCGCGCGCTTGATGGAAGTCTTGTATTCGCGCTGTTGGTAAGCGCTTCGGGACCGTTCTTTTACGATTGCAACTCGATACTGACGCGACGACGCGACACTCGGCAAAGAAAGGTTGGACCGGGGTCGACAGTGACGTGCAGTCTGTCAGAATAAAAATGGCATACCAATAACAAAGTGTACATACCGTGTTACGAAGGCAATCCATACGGCGTTTATTTCAGCTCTATATCACACAAAACAAGAAGATAGAATCGACGAGAGTCCCTTTTCGACGAGTGTTCGTCAACACTGCCTCGGAAAACAAGGGGAAGAGATTGACCTCCTCACCTCTTAATCTAGAATTGAGGTCAGTGATCAAACTATAATACGGGAAGGGTCCACAAGGGTCGCGCGGGCATATTCCATTTAGCACGCCAGCCGGTCGTAGGCAGGCGGTCTTGCGACGAAGCAACGCAGCGCCGAGTCGGAATGCCTGCTAGGCCTATACGCTTCGTCGGAGTCGGTAAATCCAGCGTTCTTGTTCGTCGTGGTCTGTTTTAAGTACTGTTTTCTTGCTGCTTGAAGTCGGCACGCGCGGGAAGAACACGTAGAAAAATAAACGTTCAGTCAGTCAGAGTTTTGAGAGGAAGTAAAACAAAGAAAATAAATGTTCGTCGGTCGCCCTGCCCTACTGCGCACGCGCAGTAGTTGCTTCGTTTACCACACGATAGATGGCGCTTGGCTCTCAGCATTATCAAATTTGGCAATTTTCGCCACACATCTCTAATTATGCTACAAAATGTGGATCTGAATATTATTTAACAAAACTTTTAGGAAACATTCGCCGGCTATTTATTGTTTACGATCGCGGTGCTGGTGAGGTAGGCTCTTACCCAATAGCCGATGTGGATTCGGCTGACGTGCACCGATTCTGCGTATGCATCGTAGTGAACAGGCGAAGGAAGGAAGGCGCAAAAGAGTCCAGTTTTCTTTTAAAAGTTCTATAGCAAATAATTTTTTTGGGCTCCCTATTTTTGTGTTTTTGTGTTTCTTTTCACACCTTTTACGACGTGCGGTGGATGAAACTCGATTTTAAAATCATTTCATGGTCCCTTTAACTGGCAAAACAAAATGGCTAGGTGGCGTAAGCTACCGCCCGATTCAAAGGGCTCAGCCGGATTCTTCCATCCATCCATCCATCCATATTGGCAGACACTGACGCGGATCTATTTTTTTTTTTGCGCACTCTCAGTTATCACCCCTGGTGTGGGCAAATGCTAAGTTGTCCGCAAAGAAATGTTACCAGCACATTGGTGACAAACAAGTCCGCGTCTGTATACACCGGCACGGCGGCCCTAACTGCGTTAGGGCCGCCGTGTCGGTGTATACAGATCTCCAACAAGTACCCTGTAGTGGTGCAAAACTATCGATAGTACTATCGATAGTATCGATAGTCGCCAGAAATCTGACTATCGATAGTGAAAAAAACTATCGATAGTACTATCGATAGTCGACTATCGAAAAACTATCGATAGTACTCGATAGTCGACTATCGAAAAACTATCGATAGTCGACTATCGGAAAACTATCGATAGTACTATGGATAGTCGACTATCGAAAAACTATCGTTAATCAAATATCAGAAAACTATCGATAGTCGACTGTCGTAAACCTATTGATGGTACTGTCGACGATTTACTATCGATAGTTTTGCGACACTAGTAGTTTGCGTCGCTCCCTCTTCTCTTTTTATCGCTTTATTTATTTATCTTTTTTTTTTTCAAATGGGACACCAATTAGGCCAGCCACTTACCATCCCAACTTTCGTTCAGCTTTCAGTGATGACGAAGACGGGAGTTTGGGCGAGGAGAGGAGAAGGGGGAGGCGAGCGGTAGGGCGACTATCGAAAAACTATCGATAGTACTATCGATAGTCGACTATCGAAAAACTATCGACAGTACTATCGATAGTCGACTATCGAAAAACTATCGATAGTACTATCGATAGTCGACTATCGACAGTTCTGAGACACTATCGATAGTTTTGGAAAAACTATCGATAGTATCGATAGTCAATTTATCGATAGTTTTGCATCACTAGTACCCTGCCACAAAAAAGACCCTTTTTCGAGCACATTTGAGGCTAATGCGTCAATGGCGTCCCTGTTGACCCTAACCGAGTGAACTTGATTTCGATAGAAGCAGCCTGCGTAGGCACAATATCATATATTTTTGTCAGCTAGATTCTTGCCTTTCGCCGCTATTGTTTGTGTTTCACGGTGTATGTATATGGTGTATGTACTTTTATTATCACTTGAATTTTGCTGCGCTCGTGCGCTTTGAGTCAGCGGCTTGTATCGAGCGACTCTTCGGAGTTTCTTTTCTTCTGTTTGTCTGATCGCGAGCGTACGTCGCCTACGGTTTTGGCGAGAGCTTTTTGTTGTTGTTCGAAAAAATTAGTAAATATCTTCTGATTTTATTTTCTACCCTGTGGTCGCCTCCCCTGCTCACTTTTACACCAGGCGTGGTCCTAACACCTATCAACCGGTCGAACTTTTTTTTTTTTTTTGTATGCACATGAGCTGTGGCCTTTGTCTTTTTAACGTTGTTTCAACTAATTTACATACTGGCCCACGCACCTTTGTGACACCGCTGCAGCACACAACCCGTAGCAACGGCGACAAAACTGAAGGTCGCCTATGGCGGCAGGGGCACGTGACGTCAAGATGGTGGCGTCCATGAAATGTTGCCTGAAAGGGTCTCCCTACGCGAGCCAGAGTTGCGCGTCTTTTTTCCACGTGCCGCCGCGCCGCTATTCGCCGAGATCCGATCACGGGAGGAGCCGGAAAACAGACGCGCAACTCTGGCTCCCGTAGGGAGCCTATCCAGGAACTCTAGTCGACGCCGTCGACGCAAATACGCTGCAGAGGAAATAAGAGAGTGGAAGAATGATGTACATGCTTTCGCATTCACAACTCATAAGATGTGCTTAGGTGTACCTCGAACCTTTTTTGTGACATTATATGTCGATGCATTGCAGAAATTTGAAAGTCTGATTTATAAAACGTGCGACCTCGTCTGCGGAGGCAGGAAGGTGAAGTTGCCAAAGAAAGCTTGCCCCAACGGTACTATGCACGTAAGTCACAAGAAAATGTTCCCGCTGCCTTCGCGCTTTTTTGTCTTTGTTATTTTGTGGGTATTAGTCATATGGCAGATGCCCCTTTTTATATATTTTTCAAAAAGTTATTTATCGTTGGATTTTGCTTTACTAAGGCCATTCCACAATTATGTTGTTTAGTATAATCACACAAAATGTACTAATTAGCTCTCTATTTATTCTGTGCAAAGCTAGTACTCGAACCATTTTTTTTTACATTTGCAAGACCATGCGTCCTTCCATCGAATCCCCTGGGAAAGACGTAGTCGGTCATCTTTTTTATGTATATTTAGACGATCAGATATTTTCTTATGTCCAGTCTATTGATGGTACATAGCACAAAATAATTTTAAGGTGCAACAACTGCATAACGTTGTTGACAATTGTTTTATGAAATCGACCACTCCTCTTATATTATACCCAACTCCACATGAACATGTCGACTACTAAAGAGGCTGGTAGGAACAGAAAACTAACGATCCAGTCACAATTCCTAAAGCCTCCTAGTGTTGCGGTTAGGCAAACAACCATCTCGACCACGACTGCTGGACATAGATGCGGAGGCAATGGCCACGTGCAATACCGTCCGTCGTTCAGCCTGGTGATGAGGCAAATTTCTGCTTAATATTTACGACCGGTTATCCCAGTTGGTTTCTTTAATAATGACTAGAATATCAAAATATAATTGCGAAAACATTAACTGTCCCATGGAACGAAGCCGGTGTTATCTGATGTCTGTAGCAGCGAGAAACGGCACATAAATTCCCATTGGCTACAAAGTGGACGCGCCTCAGATAAAAAATTAAATAGAAAGCAGAAAACAGCAACGCAGACGACTCGTCACGGAAGCCGGCGGGTCGCTCAAGGTCAAATGGAACGCGCCTCACAAATAAAACACAAAGAAAAGCATAGCAACGCATATGCAGCGTCAAGGAACCCGTGGAGCCGGCGGGGTTGCCGCGCATGCGCAGTGGGGGAGCATGATGTCACCGCCGGAGCGCCGTGTGACAAATGAAGGCGTTGCGCGCAGCTTGCAGGAATGCACTTCGTGTAAGAATGCTTTTGCAATCCTACACGTAAGCAGTCTAGAGTGTCTTCGTTTAATTTAATTACATAACATTATAAGTAGTAAAGGTCAGTGTATACTTATCAAAAATAGGAGCAGGAGCAAAAGCAAGAGTATTAGCAGTCGTAGCAACATTAGCGAATGTAGCAAGTAGTAATATTTACATTTAAAGTGCCTTGGTACGATAGGGAAGAAATTATATCAGGACAAAATACTTAAAGTACAGTTTTTACGAATGTGCTGTTTGTGTTCTGCTAGGTTCTTCATTCTTTCTCGAGTCTTTATACTAAACCAACGCGCCCACCCCCAAAGGAACAACATTAGGTTGGGACATTTTTTTTTTTTTTTACACATGCAAGATGACGACGAAATAGATTGTTCCTATTGCGGAGGATGTCAGTCCGGTTTGAAGATGTCCATATTCCATTGAGACGGGTCAGCAGCGGGCCAAGGGGATCTGCAGCCTGCCGTTCGATCGGTGCACGGTTGCCCAAAGGAGCCCCAGGAGCATGATGGTGCTGTCACCCAGTGGGGTCGAAGCATCAGGCTCCAAGGGGGCAGCTCAGTCAAAACTGAAAGCTTCCACCTCGGATGTACAGAGGCCCACGGCTTAGATTGAGGCACCGCCGACGCCCGGTGCAGCATCCTCTCGACGCCGTCATCTTCTCGTTTTTTTTTTTTTTTTTTTTTTTTTTTTTTTCAGCCAGTTTAAGCTGAGGCGCTGTTCTAGCAAGCCGGCCAAGAGCAAACTGTCACTGAGACGCCGAGATTGAACGCTTCTATTTTACGCTTTAAATGTCGTTTCCAACGTTGTGACGTCACAGTCTGCTGATCAGTCGACTGTATCCCACATTTAGTTTACGCTCTAACCGCGGGAGGAGCATTCGGCGCTGGCGGCGGCCTTCGCTCCGCCCATTGGCCAAAGCTCTTATCGGCATGTGGCCGCTCATTCTGTCTGTCACTTAAAGAAATGAACGCCGTTTTTTTTCTAATTTTGCGGTGACTGCCATACGAGATATGATCTAGCCCATGTTTCGTAGGTTGTGAACGTCAAAGATTACTGCTATGCGTTATTTAGTGAAAGGCTATAAATAGTGACTCAGCACCTTTATTACAACAGTAAAGAGGAGAAAAGTATCGTTTTTGGAGCGAGTACTGAAACGCAGCCTCCTCCCAACCACCCCAATCTGATTTGAAAAAAAAAAGAGAGAAATACATTTATCAAAATCTCTAATTCGAAACTAGAGCGCAACTCTTGAGGAGGAGGACGCCACTCCTCCCCTCCTCTTCCTTTCCTCCTCCTCTCCTCCTGCCACTGAACTTGTTGATGGGTGACATGAAACGTAGTCCTGACATTATTTTCGCCCGCTAAATTTAACGGGGAAACTGAATTGGTGTTGAGGTCAAGTGACGTCAGTTTCCCCGCTAAATTTGCCGGGTAAATATTAGGGAGTTTTCGTAGACCGCGCTGCCCCCTCCGCTAAGCGTTCCGCAACGAAGAAGTCGCTACTGCGCCTGCGCGCCGATAGCCTTGACTGTGGAGTTTCCGCTATCGCAGCGGGTTGCGAAGGGCCTTGCGGGACGGCGAAAACGATCTACGAAAACTCCCTATTCCCGCTGTATTTAGCCGCGAGATTTTTTCCCTAAATTTAGCGGGAAAATTTCCCCACTAATTTTAGTGGGACAATTTCCCCCTTAACTTAAAGGAAAACATTCACGCTAAATTTAGCGGACAAATATAAACGCTAAATTGAGCGGTAAATTTTCTCGCTCAGTAAAATGGCAAAATATCCCCGCTAAACAAAGCGGGAAAATTTCGCCGCTAACTTTAGCGGAAAAACGTCCCATAATGCAACGCGCGCAGTTAGGCCGACGCCGCCCAACCCGGAAACGGGCGCCTAAAAGCTGCTCTCTAAAAGTACATATTAGTGCCTATTTTGGGGTTGGTCTTTTATCATGCGTTTAACTACACAAAAATCGCAAAAATAAAAAAAAAATAAAAAAATAAAAAAACGGCTACCATTAAACGAAGCTGCTCGATCGCTTATATTTGTGTTCTGATTGCTATAAAATCAGAATCGCATTTTATTTCTCAGAATCCCTGCACTGAAGAAGAGCGATATCACCTCCAAAGGTGGGCTAGGGACTTGGAAAACAAGAAAGCAACCATTCAAGCCAAATGGTGCAATGTCTAACAAGGCAAGCAACTTTTGTTACAGTGACTGCGATCAATAAAGCAGTGTCATGTGCCCTTCATCCGAATCTATCATTTATAAGAAAACGTATATCTCCGTTTTAGTTCTTCACGTTGTGATGTTCATTAACTACAAGCCGGGCTGTAATGCGGTATACTCTACACATGGGCTGTATTGCATATTGCGCTACATATCGTTTAAAAAATTAGCGTTCGTAATTCAAGGGAAACATCGAAGGCAATAACTAGTTCAAAATGTCACAGTGTCTACTTGAGAAATCTGGAACATGGCCTCGTCAAACAACAAGCAAGCAAACTAATTAAAGAAGGAAAAGGACAAAAACATAAAGAAATATGTGGCTGGATGAATGGATGCTTGGGAACTCAGGCGCTAGCTTTAAAGTGATTCGTCGACTTCAATATTTATTTATTTATGTTTCACCACAGAACAGTGTCTGGGATAATGTGTTACGAAATACGCGCTATAGTGCATTTCTGGCAAAGGCCTTTGAAATTCCCGAAAACGATTTTTTTTTTTCTTGAGTACTTCAATTTCTAAGCATTTCACCCTTCATAATTAGACCGTGGTGTGTTCGGCATTACGCGGCTTGAAAATGGCATATGCTGTGCAATTGCCACGCAACAGTGTCTGGGATAAGGATATACGAAATACGTGCTGTAGTGCACTTCTGGCATGTATGGAGGGGAAAGGCGTTCGAATTTCTCGAAAACGATTGCCTCTTGAGTAATTCAATTTCTAAGGACTTTACCTATCCCAATTAAATAGTGATGTTCGCGGCATTACCCGGCTTGAAATGGTCATGTCGTTGTACGGCACGTGTAACGATTTCTTTTCGAGCGTTCTCCGCCGGTGGTAAAAATAGTCAATCTACCGAGATGCCATCGGGGGCAATCGCGGCAATTCCGCCACACACACTGCCCGTAGTTACAGAATATTGGTACGATACCGGTGTGTGGGGACTGACATTTAGAGCGTCTAAAGGCCCTTGGAATATGTAGAAAAGGTGTATGCGCTCTCTTCTCTCACTCGGCCGAAAAGCCGTGCTCTTCGCTGGGCCTTACCTGGGAATTCGATCCTCGCTAACCGGCCGCCATGTTGTTTTAGGAGGTGGTCAAACTTGACTACCTGCTTTTTGACTACGTGTGGGTTTGTCATTTTTACCTTGGGGGTCGTTATATTTGAGACAACTTTTTAACACCTCAAAGGGAGTCACATTTGAATACCCTTTTTTCTTAGAGTGTATTATAAGGCCCAACCTTGAAGCATGTACTATCACACCCACGAAAGGCCATAGTACCTACCTTTAGAGGGTAAAGGATATTCCATCAAGTGTTCACTTAACCTGTGATAAGGTGGTAAACTGGGCCAGTTGGTTGCTCTTATACATGATGGGGAAAACAGCTCAGAAAGCGCGGACTACGAAGAACAAACACGACAGGACAGCACTGTCCTGTTGTATTTGTTCTTCGTAGTCCGCGTTTTCTGAGTTGTTTTCCTCATCGTGTACATTTGACCCCAATGTGGATCATAGTTCCCTCCATAAGGGGGTAAAAGTTGAAACTGGGGGCGTGTATTATTGCCCCCAAAATGGGGCCACTGTTCCCTCTCTATGGAGGGAAAACCAGCCCCCCCATAGCACGTGCTGTTGTCTTCGAAAGGAGATAAATGCAGCCCCTTCAATTATGTCGCCTTACCTTTCAAGGGGGTTGAAGTTTCTTCCTAAATGAGGTAAAAGCTGACCTTGAAAGGATGCACTTTTAACCCTAAAAGGAACATAAGGTTCCCTCCAAAAGGAGGCAATGTTGCACCCTAACCCAGGGGGTAACTTTGCACCCTCGTTGCAGGGGGTAACGTTCCCTCCAAAAGTGGTTGCCCGGTGTGGAAGTCGGTTACCCCCTTAAGGAGGGCACTAGAGTAAAATTTTTTTTTTAAGAGTGTAAGAGATGGAGCTAGGCAGCAAAGGCACACCGCAGGGTTCAGTACTGTCCCCCTTCCTGTTCAATGTTGCGATCATGGCTTACCGAAAATCTTAGATTAGATCAAGGCCCTCAACTACAGCCTCTACCCTGACGATGTTACTCTATGGCTGACAAGCGGCAGTGATGCTCAAATAGAAGAAATGCATCAGCGAGCAGCGGAGGCAGTCAGGCGCTACACGATGGAGAGGGAACTCAGTTGCTCGCCGCAGAAATTAGAGCGCCTGTTGGTGTATCCAACCACTAGAAAGCTGTACGGAGGTTCACCGGGTACTACCACAAAAGCGAGCAGAGGCCCGATACCCATCGTGGAACAAGTCAAGGTACTAGGACTCCGGGTGCATGCGGAGATAGAATCAAAAAGACACTAGAGGCGCTGGAACCTAGCACACGACAAACAATTCAGCTGATCAAAAGAGTTGCCAATAGACGTTACGGCGCAAGGGAGACCAGCCTAATTCGCTTAGCGCAGACCGTCATCATTAGCTGAGTCGTCTATGTGGAGCCGTATCTGAAATTCGGGACCGCTGAAAAGCTCGAAATTGAAAAACTGATGCGGAAGGCTTGCAAGCAAGCAATCGGCGTCCCCTTCAGAACACCCAACAACATGCTTTTAGAGTTAGGGGTACATAACACCTTATATAAACTCGTACAAGCGCACACCATAGCACGATATGACAGACCAACACAGATCCCCACGGCTTGACACATTCTAAGGAAACTTAACATCCACTACGAATCACAAGACGGAGCTAAGGGAAGCATACTAAAGAGTTTCAGGAGGGAACTCAAAATTCGTCCACTGCCCAAGGACATGCACCCGGAATATCACAAGGAGAGACGGGAGGCAAGAGCTCGCAACGTCGAGCGAAGATACCAAGACTTCGAAGACTTGGTCTACGTAGTGCCGTGGAATAACGAAATTGCAAGGGAAGGTTCGTCTGTGAGGTAGGCGCGGGCGAAGAACGCCTCGTAGGCGGGACCATGGCGAGGGACAACCCCAAGACAGCGGAGGAGGTGGCCACTGTACTAGCGGTGGCCTCCACCAAAGCTAAAATTATTATAAGCGACTCAAAGATCACCATCTACAATTTCGATAAGAGGCGCATCTCGTCAAAGGCCAAGAAAATGTTAAGAACTTACGGTGACCATCACCAACAGCGGCCACACGGGAAGACCCACATTATTTTATCACCCGCGCACTCCACGCTCCCAGACAACGAGGCGGCTCACACAGTAGCTCGAGATCTTACACGCCGAGCCACTGAGCCCGCCCAACCGGGAACGCAAGGAAACCGCATAGTTATTTATCGCGAAATTGCGAATCACTACCAGCTGGGACGGGCCTTGCGTACTAACCGGCTGATCCTCAATTAACTAAGAAGCAGGCAGTTGCCTGGCGCCTCCAACATATCCAACATGTACCCAAACCCAGTGTCCTGTAACCGGTTCTACCAACACCACCTAGAGAGAAGACTTCCGCACTTTCATCCCAGTCAGATCGATCGAGGAATGAGATTGGGCACGAGTGCTGCGTCACTGTTCGGCTGGGGCTCGTGTCCAATCAGTGCGTCAAAGGTCGGGCTCGGGCCCAATAGCCGAGTTAGCGCGATCCCACTCTGATGACGTTTCATGAAGGGTGGTATTTGTTCTAAAGGGGTACTTTGAAAATACGTGCAAAATTTCTAAGAATAGGGTGGATCTGCCAGATATATCTACGGGCATGCTCTCAGGCAACACCGACCATCGATGGCCGCCAAATCGAAGACCGCGAGCCAGTGGGAGGCACTACTGATCAGCTCAGATCCCACCCGGCTAGCCGAAGAAGCCGCCGAGGTCCAAGGGATCTCGGCCGTCTTCTAGGACCGCGGTGGATGAGACGGCTGCACCCGTCACCCCATTGACAGTGCTGAAAAAAAAAACGTTCAGCTTTTCCACTTTGGTGAAGAAGGAAGAGCAGCGGAGCTGTACTATGTGCCGCCATCTATGAGCGACGGCGGCAAGCAGACAACCGGCAAGCCGGTTGTCTGGTTGCTGTCGTCATTGACAGATGGCGGTAGCTGTCCAAAGGGTTGTGTGGAGAGTTATTTCTCCACGGACACAAAACTAAGGGAGCTAGCACTTAACAGCTCTGCTGTATTAAAATGTTATTCTTCCTTTTCTCTGCCATTAGGCAGGGACGCTAGGTACTTTCATGTCCACATGAAGCAGGTCGCGTGACATAAAAATCCCACTTGACCGCAGCCTCGGGATGAGAAAACCGGCCCTGTGTTCTCGCATTTACCAGAACGTGCCATCTACAAATAACAAAATGGTACTACGTCCGTTCCAAGAAATCGAACCTGCACTCTTAGAAAAAACGGTCAGTATAGTCCACCCTAAAGGGAGGAACGCTCTTGTTACATATATTTCTTCAGAAAGGGAGAAACTTTCGTCCCTTAAGCAGGGGAGCAAACGTTCCTCCGTCGACTGCATCTCATTATGGCGGCCACGAATCGAACAAATCGAGCTCGATAAGGCTTAACGAGAACACTAAGTCTATTCTACGGAGCGAGAGGAGCAGCAAATAAAAACGTAGCACGAGCTTTCCGCGAACTGTATTTATTTTCGAAGCCGGCTTCCCCCTGCAGGTAAAAAAACTTACGTTTCGAAAGCATGCAGTCACTCAATCTTCTCATCGTCAGCACTGCGATGTTCAACGGAGACAACCGGCACCCAGCAGGGCTATGTTGCGCTTTTTGCACTCCCAGGGGTGCTATGTTGCGCTTTTTGGACTCCCAGGAGACTAGGGAGAAGGAAGTGACGTCAACGACACAGCAAACGCAGATTGGATGTTGACAGAAAAAACGAAGTCAACATCCAATCTGCATTTGCTGCGTTGTTGACGTCACTTCCCTCTTCCAAGTCTCCTGGGAGTGCAGAAAGCGCAACATAGTTTCCCCGTTCGTGCACTTGATGTCTTACCTTTGCTATTCCTCGAGCCACAATTCCTTCGTCAACCGT